ACCCAGCACCACCAGCAGCCCACCTCACTTCCTGCCCACACCACCCCCTGCCCCCTAAATACCCCCTACCCACCCACACCACCCCCTGCCCCCCCTGAATACCCCCCTACCCACCCACACCAGCGCCTACGTTACCACCACCAGCCCACCCACACCACGCCTAGCCCCACACCACCCAACCACCTCCACCTATACCACATTCCGACAGCCACCACACCCACCTAGACCACCGCAACCCAAAATAAAAAAAAAACGAAAATTCATCAAAAAAAACAATAATACAAAATTTAATATACAAAATCAAAATCAAATCCAAAAAAAAATAGCAAAAACAGATCTAATACTCAAACTCAAAAATTGAATATACAAAATAATCGCCACAAAAAAATCAGAAATTGAAAATAAAAGCCAAAAAAAAAACCAAATCACAAATAAACCCACGAATTCAAAATTAACTCACAGTACAAAATAAAAATAAACATACCTTTTAATTTGAAATTTCTTCTTTATTGGGTTTAAATGGTCAAACTCGACCATGAAAATTCCATATCTGGAATTTTCAAGGTCGAGTTTGAACAAAAAAACCATTATTTTGAATGAGTGGTGGTGGTGTACGGTGAGCACGGTAGTGCTAGTGGTGGTGTACCGTGGTGATGGTGTACCGTGGTGATGGTCGTGTACGTGCTGGTGGTGGGAGGAGAGGAGGGAGAAGGGCAAGGAGATGAGAGGAGGGAGAAGGGCGAGGAGAGGAGTGAGGAGGGAGGAGATGAGAGGAGAGGACGGAGAAGATAGGATGGAATGGAGGAGTGAGAAAATAGGAAGGAAGAAGAAGGAGAAAAACGGCGAAATAGAAATGGAGGAGTGAGAAAAACCGGGTTTTAAATGTAGGTTTTTAGGTTTTTTTTTTTTTTTTTTGGGTAACCTGAATTCCGACGGAATATTCTGTTGGAACTACTATTTTCCGACGGAATTTTCCGTCGGAAATTTCTGACAGATTTAATTCCGCCGGAAACTTTGTGTTTCCGACGGATTTCAATTCTGCCGGAAACTTAATATTCTGACAGAATATTCCGTCGGAAAGCCCATAAATTCCAACGCTCGGGCAACCTCATGTTTCATTCGTCCGACCGTTCTAGGGCCCGATGGAGTATTTTAGCCATTATGACTTTTATAGCCGAGTAGCCTGGTTGGGGGATGCCCTCACTAAGCATTTTACTCGACCATTAGATCATGCCCCTTCTAGAGGCCAAGCTGCTATGTTGCAAGCACTTTCGTTTTTCATTTTATGCGGCATTGGTTATTCAACTTTTCCCTACTCAAGGGTCGAGCTGCTATGCTGCAAGCCATATTTATTGTTGTTTTTAGTCGGAATTTCTGCTTAACAATAAGTAGGCGTACAAAATAAATTGCAAGAATTTAGTAACAATGTTTGACTTTTTTCATTAATATTGTCAAATTTACATTGTTTGGGTCGTACGACTTTGATTACATTGCTCGGTCAATTAGACCTAGTTGTATATACAACTTGTGGCTAAGTACAAAGACTCAAACATGATATTTTTTCAAATTGTCCGTATTCCACGTACGGGGAATAAGACAGCCATCTAAGGCTTCGAGACGGTAGGTACCATCTCATACTTCTTATTTAATTCGGTAGGGCCCTTCCCAGTTTGGGGTTAGCTTGCCATCTTCATTAGCTCAGCCTATCGCTTCCATCTTCTTTAAGACCAAGTCTCTAATCTTAAGCGGCCGCTTGGACACTTTGAGATTATATTCCCTTGTCATCCTTAGACGATAGATTTCATGTCTAAGCACTGCATTGCCTCTAGCTCTTGGAAGGAAGTCTAGGGCGGTCTTCATGGCCTCCCATTTGGCCGATTCATCATATAGCATTACTCGGAGGGTGGGCTCATACATCTCAATTGGGAGCACAGCCTCAGCACCATAGATTAGAAAAAATGGGGTTTCCCCTGTTGAACTTTTGGCTGTAGTTCGAATGGACCATAACATATTGACCAACTCATCAGCCCATAGGCCGCCTGCTTTCTCAAGCTTGCGCTTGATACCATTTGAAATAAACTTGTTGTATGCTTCAACTTGGTCGTTTTCCTTTAAGCGTCCGAGCGAGGCAAAATAATGCGTTATGCCCTGATCGCTCAACCAATCTTTGAGTTGGCCGGTCTCGAATTACGGTCCATTGTCAAACACCATTGATTGCGGCACACCAAAACGTGTGATGATGTTCTTCTAGATGAAGGCAGATACATCTCTTTATTTGATCCCTCATACAGCCTCAGCCTCTACCCACTTTGTGAAGTAATCAACAGCTACTAACACATACCACCTCTGTCCATGCCCCATTTGGCAAAGGAAAGTGGACTACTTATGGCCGACAAGATATTTGCCGGGCGGTGAATGAGGGTTGTAAATCTCTGGCACTTGTCACATTTTTTCACCATTTCCATGGCGTTTGAATTCAGGCTCGCCCAGTTATACCCCAGATGAGTAACCATTTCAGCTAGGGCTCGTCCGTCTATGTGTGATCCGTAATTCCCCTGGTGGAGGTCGTCCAGCACCTCATGCCCCTTCTCGAGTGAAATGCATTTCAAGTAGGGCTTAAAAAAGGCTCTTTTGAACAAGTCCTCCCCCTTCATCTCAAACCATGCCGCCTTTTTCTTCATCAGCCAGCTCTCTTTTGGGTCGTCCAGAAGAACTCTATCCTTGAGATAGGAGATAATTCCATCCATCCATGTGAAGCTTCTGTCAATGATTTGCACAAGCTCGACATTAATACTCCTCTTTTCCTTGACTTCCCAGAAAAGAGATCCTGGAGTATCACATAATGGCGAGGAGGCTAGCTTGGAGAGGGTGTCCGCCTAATAATTCTCGAACCGGGGGACTTGTTGCAGCGTGAAGTGCTCTAGGCTCTCGGCCTCATCCTTCATCATTTGTAAATACTTCATCATGGCCGGCTCCCTAGCCTCGTAGTCACCATTAACTTGGCTGACTATCGGCTGAGAGTTCGAAAAGGCATCAATTTTTGTTGCCCCGGCCGCCTTAGACATTCTAAGGCCGGCCAGAAGGGCCTCATACTCAGCTTCGTTGTTAGAAGCTTGAAACTGAAATCTCAAAGCATACTCGAACTTATCTCCTTTCGAAGATAAATATATGATACCAGCGGTGCATCCGGTCGGTGTTGCACTTCCATCAACATACACCTTCCAAATCTGATCCCCTATCGGTTGTAGATCCGACCGTGTCATTTCAGCCAAAAAATCTGCAAAGGCTTGGCCTTTAATTACTTTCCTGGACTCAAAAGTAATATCAAATCCCCTCAATTCTAATGCCCACATAAGCATTCAGCCGCTGGCCTCAAATGTGGTGAACGGTTTCTTCAACTGTTGGTCTGTGTAGACCACAATTGAATAAGCAAGAAAATATGGCCTTAGCTTTTTTGATGCCATGAACAATGCCAAGCCGAACTATTCAATGGGTGGATACCTAAACTCGACATTGTGCAGGACGTGGCTAATGAAATACACAGGGGTCTGATGGTCGTCCCTTTCAGCAAGCAGGACGGCACTTAAAGAATGATCTAAAATTGCAAGATACATGTATAGCTTCTCATCTTTGAGCGGACTGACGAGCCGAGGAAGGGTATGACAATGAATTTTCAACTATACGAAGGCTTCCTCGGCCTCTTTTATCCACTCAAACATTGCTTTCTTCTTAATAGTCTGGAAAAAATAACGGCACTTATCCCTTGATCTAAAAAGAAATCCTCGGCCTCAATACTGCGTTGATCGATCAAAAATCCCAGAAATTTTCCGGACTCAACACCAAAGACACACTTCTTTGGATTTAACATCATCTTATGCCACCTAAGTCGATAAATGTTTCTCGAAGGTTTCTCAGATGATCGGCCGGCCTTTTTGATTTAATAATCATATCATCAATATAATCCTCCATGTTCCGACCTATCTGATCCCTGAAGACCATATTCACAAGTATATGAAATGTGGCAAGGGCATTCTTCAGGCCAAATGGCATAACCTTGTAGCAATATAGCCCCTGCTCGGTTACAAACGCGGTTTTTTCTTGATCTTCTTCCCACAAAGGGATTTGGTGGAATCTAGAGTATGCGTCCATGAAGCTCATTAGGGCATGCCCAGCCGTTGAATCAACCAGACGTTCAATTAGGCAAGGGAAAGCTATCCTTAAGGCATGCCTTGTTGAGGTCGGTGAAGTCTACGCACATTCTCCAAGTTCCATTCGGCTTCTTAACAAGAACTACATTGGCTACCCAATCAGGATAGTGACATTGCCGAATGAAATCGGTGTCTAGCAGCTTTTTGACCTCAGTTGCGGCCGCCTGATTCCTTTCTTCACAAGGTTTTTCTTTTTCTGCCGAATGGGTTTCACAGCCAGATTCATAGCCAGCTTGCGAACAGCTAAGTCTGGACTGATACCCGGCATCTCATGAACTTAAAAAGTAAATACATCTCTGAATTCTTTCAGCAAATTTACTAAGTCATCTCCAAGTAAGCCCATGGCCATGGTGCCCAATTTGACTGTCCGATCAAGCTGGTATGGGTCTAGCACTATGTTCGTATGGTCGCTAGCCGGCTGTGGCCTCAACTCTTCTGGCTGGCCGACGGTCATTAGCTGCTATGCTTGCTCTTTCTTGATCGACTTGCGCTTTTGGCCGACCTTGTATGTTTGGAGTGACCCTTCTACTGAGTTTTGCTCGGACGCTCTTCCTCGTCCACGAGCTGTTGGCTTCACGGCCAGCTGATTGCATTCTTTTGCCATTTTTTATTTCCTTGAATGGAACCTATCTTTCCATCCAATCACTCAAACTTCATTAACATTAAATGAAGGACGATTACTGCCTTTGCTGATGTCAAGGTTAGGTGGCCAAGGATAACATTGTAGACCGTGAGCTCTTTAACAACTAGGAAGTGGACTACCATGTCCCTTCCTTCTCCCTTTTTTCCAAATCAGACGGGCAAGTCTATCCGTCCAACCGGTTGGATAATACTCCTACCAAACTCGACCAACGGGTGGGAAATATCCTTAAGGGCATCCTCTGGAAACTTCAAATTCTTCAAACAAGCTAAACTGTTTATGTCGGACAAGCTGCCTGTGTCTATCAACACTCGACCAACCTTCAAATTAGAAACCTTCAAGATGAATACCATGGGGTCATTGTGAGGGGCTTTGATCGAACCTCGGTCTGCCTCGCAGACCGTTACCTCTGGAAAGGGCTCTGCCTTCACCCCTTCAATGTGCATTACATTCTCAAAATTCCAGGCATCTTGCTTAATTCTCTTCACGGTCGGGCCACCTGTAGCAAAGCCGCCTGATATAACGGCCACGAACCCTGAATCGGTACTATTTCCATCATAATCCTTCTCTTTATCTTTCTTCTTCTCGGATTTGTTGTCTATTTGAGAGTAGGTGAACTTGGGCTTTAGAACGTACGAGTTGAGCATGCCCTTCCACTACAAGAAAATTACCTTCTTGTAGCGATTATTCTAACCTTTGTTATCTATTGTAATTGCTACAAAAAGTTTTCCCAATGAATGGTCATTCGATACAATATCCGCCGTTACCATAGCTTTTAGTAGTGGTTTTCAATATCGTTGGGGTTGTCCTCAATAATCGATACGAAAAACTACATCCAATCGTGGTGATTATTGTAGCGATTATAATTGCTATAAATGTTGAACTCATTTTATTCAAAAAAAAAAAATCATACATATGTCTTTACAAGATTCGAACATGCAACCTCAAGCTCTAATATTAAATTTTTTACCAATAGGCTATGATAGATTTTTGTATTCTTTGTCAAACAATATTTGTATATCTAGTCTTCAAAAGGCTTTTCGTATCGATTTTTGGGTTTTAATGGAGATTGTAAATGATACGATTTCTCATAATTTTATAAACGTGCATAAAAATGGTGGATATGTATTATTAAATTTTTCGTATCAATTTTATATGGGATTACCATACCGATTGTGAAATGATACGATTTTCTCCATTGTTTCACAAGCATACATGCATATTGTAGCGAATGTACAATCAGAAAAAAAATAATCACTGCGAAAAGGCAATTTCTTGTAGTGTTCTCGGCCAGCTTATCAAGCAATCTCTTCAGATTGTTGCTATCGTTCGTGTTATGCCCCATATCTTTGTGGTAATGACAGTACTTGTTTTTGTTTCTGTACTGGACTGGCCCTCTCAGAGGCTAAGGCTTCTTAAACTTGAACTTGTCTTTAATCTCCATCAAAATTGAATAACAATCTTTGTTGTACTCGTACTGAGGCTCATAAGTCTTGGCTTTCTTCGATTTTGTCAGTTGGCAGTCAGCCACCTAGACTTCTTTTCTTTTGTTGTTTCCTTCCTTCTTTTTGCCGATCGAGTCTTGCTGAGAAGATTGTTTCTTCTCAGCCCCCTTGGCCGGCTCCTCTGACTTTGTCAGTGAACAAAAATCAGCAGCCTCAATATATGATTCAACCTCCCGCAGAACGCCTGTGTATGTCCGAATCTTTTTCTTGACCACGTCAAACTTGAAACCATTATGCCTTAAACCTCGAAGGAACTCCGAGTAGGCCATTTCATCCGGCAGATTCTGAATTTAGGCCTTCTCCATATAAAACCTTTGTACGCACGAACGCAACCCCTCATTCTTTCCTTGGACGATAGTTGTCAAGTTAAGATTGGTCTTCCGAGGTGGTATATTGTAGGAGAAGTTTCCAACAAATAACAAACTGAGAGTAGTTAAGCAATTGATGCATCCGGCCGACAGACTGTAAAACCAGTCTTGAGCCACGCCCTTGAGGGTGGCCGAGAAGCATTTGCACCAAGTAGCATCATCCACACGTTGTAGGTACATCAGATTTCTGTACGAGGTGACATGCTCCTCTGGGTTGCCGGTACCATCATAGGCACCCACAAGTACGCTCTTCACTTTAGCTGGTTAAGGAGAGTTGAGAATTTCTTGAGAAAACGGGGGCGGCTTGTCTCCAAGATTCAACAAGCGCATTTGCTAATCAATGGGCTGAAGTTGTGCGGCCTGTCCGCCCAAGTATGCTGCCTGGTCGTACGGCAGGCCATACTGCCCGTACTGCCCATAAACAGGGGGAGTAGGCGGCAGAATTGCACCATAATTTTGGGGCATTTAAAATTAAAGTGGTTAGGTTAAAGGAACTGGAGTTGGAGTACAGTGAGCTTGACTCTTGCTAGTCCTGGCCGAGCTGGTATGCTTGGTGAGAGTGTGGTTAGAGAAATCATCAGGCATGGTGGGAGTGGAGGCAGTGTCCGAGTAGTAGGAGTGTGCCTGCCCCTGCCGTTTGTGCCGGAGATAACCTCTGGTGATTAGGGGATTTTTCCCTACAAATCATCATCTGACAAGTGGACCAATCAGGCCCTGCCATGTGTCCGCCACATGGGCCAATAGGAGCCTGCCACGTGTCAAGCGTTGATCTGTTCACCATGGACCAATTGTGTCATGCCACGTGGCCTCCATATGCCAAGCTGGTCAAACGGCCACCTAGGCCCAATTTCCAAGGGAAGCCCAGTCAGCCCTAGGTTAACCTAAACCTAGTATTGGGCACGTTTCCCAAGGATATAAATACTCTAATTAATCCTTATTAAGGGGGATTCAGAAATAATTACTCTCACCAAGAGAAGCCTAAACACACGTGCTTTTTGATTGCTAGACCTGACTTAGCAATTAATTACACTTCCTGATCACTCCTCCCCTAGAGGAACCAGATCACCCTTTTACTTTCCGCACTATTTACTCCTCAAATACGTTCTAACTTGATCGTCGGAGGCGGAGCTCCCACCAACCGGAGTTTCCGTTGTTTTGAGAGTACAGGCGCAAGGATCCTAATCCCGGAATTGTAACTCTCCCGCAGGACATCAAAAAACCCTGAAACATTTTGGCGCCGTCTGTGGGGAGAGTACTTTCAAGATGGGATCACAGTCTGTACCGAATCCAGAAGAGAGGCGTCCTATGGACGACCCTCAGGTCTATATGACCAGGATACTGAAAATGAGGTCAAAGTTGAGACTCATACGGCCCTAGACGGGACCTTACGAGCTCGACGAACCCGTTCCTCTGAAAAGAAGGAACGAAAAGATTGCCAGGTTGGATCTAGTAAACCTGCTGGCCAGCCGCTTGATCATCAACAGGCGGCCGAGGGATCTGCTCCCATCACTAGAAGTGAACTCATGACTTTCATGAATAGCTTCAAAGGGGAGATCCAAGATCTCATTAATAAGAAGACGCCTGCTCCCTCCAAGGAGCAGTCGGCTAGAAAGCCTTCTCAGTCTGGAAGGAGGAAACCTGTACAGGGTTGAGAGGCGACTCCTCACCCTAATTCTAGGAAGTGGGAGCCGCCTGTGATTGACTTAACAAAGTATCGCTTTCCCTCACCAGGGAAGAGAAAGCTCATTCGTCATGTACAAGCGGATGGGTCAAAGAAAACTTACTCAGATGCTCGACTGTTGCTAGAGTAGAAGAAGAATGACCGACTGTCAGAATCAGCCTCTACTTCTAATTTTCAAGACAGTCTTCATAATACCTCCATGAGGTATTCCCAATCAAACTATGAGAGTTAGATAGGCGGCACCTCCCGTCGGTCCGGATCTCATAATATCAGCCGGTACCGAATGTACCATTCGTACCGCAACAACTGTACTTCTTGCAGCCTCCTTTGTTTGGAGGACAGGCGGCAAGAAACGTCCAACCATTGGATTGGAAACTACGGTTGCTTAGACTTGGAGAACAGCCGTCCGCCTTTTCCAAGGAAATTATTGAGGCCGCCCAGCCGGCCAAAGTGAAGAATGTGTTAGTAGGCGCCTATGATGGTACTACTAACCCAGAAGTTCATTTAATGGCGTTCACCAACCTAATGTACCTCCAAGGGTTGGATGATCCCACTTGGTGCAGGTGCTTCCCAGCCACTCTCAAGGAATCGCACAACAATGGTTCGGCAACCTGCCGACTGGTTGTGTGAATAATTTCAAGATACTTGCCTACTTGTTCACCTCCAACTTTGCTATGAACATTCCTGCTAAAAAGACGACCCTTGACTTAGGGACCATTCAGTAGGGTGAGAAGGAGGGACTCCGTTCCTACATCAGGCGGTTTAACCTGATGAGAATTCAAATACAAGGGTTGCCGGATGAGGTAGCCTACACTGACTTTTTCAGAGGTCTTAAGGATGGGTCGACCTTCAAGTTCAACTTGGTCCGAAAGAGGGTTGTGACTCTCCAAGAAGCACTGATTGAAGTTGAAGCCTATATACAGGCGATTGACCTCTGTAACACTGGGAAACAGTCGGACGAAAGGAGGTCTGACAAAAAAGAAAGCTGGCCAAAGCAGTCGGCAAATAAAGGATGAGAAAAAGAGAAAAGAAGTCTGGGCGGCTGACTCCTCTGCACACACAGCCGACCTAGAAAAAGAAGAAAGAATTCAAACCATACTCTCCCAAACAAGGATAGCCAAGCTATCCTCAAAGAAATCAAGAGCTGGATCTCAATCGAGAAGCCGGCCCCCATGAAGGGTTCTGCAAGCAATCGGAACCAAGATAAATTATGTCATGTTCATGAGGATATTGGTCATGAAACCAATGAATGTATTAGCCTCATGAGCTACCTGGACCGCCTGGCTGAAAAAGGCGACCTTAACCCCTATGTCAAGAAGTCCAAGGGGAATGCTCCCCCCAAGCACAAGCAGTCGGCCAAGAAGAATTACAGGCCGGCTGATAGTTATGATACTGATGACGTAGTCGTCTACACTATAGCCGGTGGCTTCTCGGGAGGCGGCCCCACTATTAGGGCCAACAAAGACAATATCAGGCGATTAGATGTTAATTCCGCTCACCAAGGAAGGACCGCCAAGAGTTTATTCCCAGAAATTGTCATCATAGAAGAGGATCTGGTAGGTGTTAGGGGGCCGCATGATGACCCCATTGTCATTGAATGTAAGGTGGCCAACCAAAGAGTTGGACGGATCCTCACAGATACTAGCAGTTCCTTTGATCTCATCAGCAACAAGTGTTTGGCAAAGCTCAAGTACAAAACCGACTGCATACATCCAGTATCTCACCCTTTAGTAGGGTTTGGAGGAAGTGTTGTACATCTAGTGGGACGAGTGGATCTACCCATCCGTCTGGGTGAGAAAGGGAGGGCCGTCACATGGTGGTTAGGTTCTTAGTAGTTGAAGAACTGTCGGCCTACAACATGATCTTGGGATGACCCACCCTGAATAACTCTAAAGTTGTCATTATCCCCTCTCTTATGCTGCTCAAATTTGAGAGGGATGATGGAACAGTCGGCTCCCTAAGGGGAGAACAAAAGATGGCACGAGAGTGTTACCTCTCGGATATCAAACCCACTGTGGCGGCTGCTGGCCCAACTGGTGAAAAAGCTGACCTTGAATTCATCAAGGAGGATGCGCTTGCCCAAGTGGCAGGCGGCAAGAAAAGAAAGGCTACTTAACTGGGGGCCGAGAGAAAAGAAAAAAGATAGCAATCACTGGCAGAAGAGCGGTCAGACGAATTCTGCCCTCAGTCGGCTGGTGAGCATACAGATGTCGTCCTGGACGACTCACGTCCTAACCGAACAGTCAAAGTTGGGACGACTGCTCTTGCGATATTGGGTGAAGATTTTCACCAACTCTTGAAGGAATTCTAGGATATCTTTGCATTCAAAGTTCATGAAATGCCAGGCATCAGTCCAGACTTGGCATTGCATAAGCTGGCTGTGGATCCGAAAAAGAAGCCGGTCCGGCAAAAGAAACGGAACCATGGTGAAGAAAGAAGCCAGGCGGCCGCCTCCGAGGTTAAAAAGTTGCTTGATGTAGGGTTTATTAGGCAATGTTATTTCCCAAACTGGGTTGCAAACGTTGTGTTAGTAAAGAAGCCAAATGATACCTGGTGAATGTGTGTGGACTACACTGATTTGAACAAGGCGTGCCCCAAGGATAGCTATCCATTGCCTAAGATTGACAGCCTGGTCGACTCAACAGCCGGCCAAGCTTTAATGAGCTTCATGGATGCCTACTCTAGCTTCCTTCAAATTCCTTTGTGGAAGAAAGATCAGGAGAAGACGGCCTTCGTCACTGATCAAGGGTTGTATTGCTACACGGTCATGCCGTTTGGTTTAAAGAACGCCCCGGCCACCTTCCAAAGAATGATAAACACGGTATTCTTTGACCAAATTGGAAGGAATGTCGAGGCATACATAGATGATATGATTGTAAAGTCCAAGCTTCAGATGAACCATCTGGCTGACCTCCGAGAAACATTCACCACACTCAGGCGGCACCATGTCATGCTCAATCCCAAGAAATGTGTGTTTGGAGTTGAGTCTGGGAAGTTCCTCGGATTTCTCATCAATCAGAGAGGTATAAAGGCGAACCCTGAGAAAGTACAGGCGATCATAGACATGCAGACGCCTCGAACAGTCCGAGAGGTTCAGAAGTTAACAGGTTGTCTGGCGGCCCTGGGAAGATTTCTCAGCCGGTCAAGCAACAAGTGCCTTTACTTTTTTCAGGCAATAAAGAAGAAAGTCAGGTTTGAGTGGGGGCCGGATGCTGAGGCGGCCTTCCAAAATCTAAAAGTCCATCTGCATTCCTTACCAACGATGGTCAGTCCCTTGCCCAAAGAAGTGCTTTACATGTATCTCGCAGTGTCTGACCATGCTCTAAGTGTCGTCCTCCTTGCTAAAAGAGACGGCTGCCAGCTCCCGGTTTACTTTGTCAGTCGTGTATTGAAAAATGCCGAGTTGAGGTACCCCCTAGTGGAAAAATTCGGTCTTGCCCTGTTCATGGCAGTTAGGAAATTAAAGCCTTACTTCTTGGCACATTCAGTCGTCGTATATACAGATCAGTCAATCAAGCGGCCACTGACAATCATGGAGTCGTCAGGCCGAATGATCAAATGGGCGATAGAGATTCAGAGCCTTGAAATCACTTTTGAGCCAAGAAAAGCAGTAAAGGGGCAAGCATTTTCTGATTTTATTGTGGAGATGACTCGGCCCTCTAATTCTCAAATTCCAGACCAAGTCTGGAAGGTCTATGTGGACGGGAGCTCCACTTGAATGGTTGTGGGGCAGGCGTCATATGTCAGTCGCCAGAATGCGAAAGGTACGAGTATGCTCTACGCTTTAACTTCTAAGCCTCGAACAACGAGGCGGAATATGAAGCTTTACTGGCCGGTATCCGCATGTGTAAGGCGGCTGGGGCAAGAAGAATAGACGCCTGCTCTGACTCACAATTGATAGTGAGTCAGTATAATGGCGAATACGAAGCAACCCATCCGACCATGATTAAATATTAGCAGGCGGTACGACAAGCGGCCGAGTCACTTGAGGAGTTTCATCTGACTCAAGTACCAAGGTCTAAAAACAACCAGGCGGATGCTCTCTCAAAGTTGGCCTCCTCGGCCTCCTGTGATACTCCAAGAACCGTCTTCTGGGAAGTTATGTATAAGAGAAGTATCAAAGAAGAGCCTATTGGAATCCTTGACAGAAGCTCAACTTGGATGGACGACATCCGAGCATATTTAACATCCGGCACCTTGCCGAATGATCACTCCCAGGCGGCTCTGCTGAAAAAACGGGTGGCCAGCTTCGAAATGTGCAAGGGTGAGCTCTTTAAGAAGGGTTATCTTCTGCCCCTCTTAAAGTGTGTGACCCCAGAAAGAGGACGAGAGGTCCTAGAAGACTTGCTTTCAGGGTATTGTGCTTCACATGTAGGCGGCAGGTCGCTTGCTCAACGAGCAAGGCGGCAAGGTTACTTTTGGCCTACCTTAGAAGAAGACGCCATGGAGATGGTGAAAAAATGTGACAAGTGCCAAAGGTTTGGCAAGTTAATTCACCGTCCAGCTACTGATCTCACGGCCATCCATAGCCCACTACCGTTTGCTAAGTTGGGCATGGATATCCTAGGTCCCTATATGCCTTCTACAGGCGGCAGGAAGTATATACTTGTTGCAGTCGACTACTTCACCAAATGGGTAGAGGTAGAGGCTGTTAAGGGAATCAAGACGAAATATGTGATCTCATTCATCTGGAAAAATGTCATCACACGATTCGGGGTGCCAATGTCTATGGTTTTTTATAATGGTCCTCAATTTGAGACGCCTGTTCTCAAAAATTGGCTGGGAGACCAAGGCATATCACACTGCTTTGCATCAGTCGGCCGTCCTCAAGCAAATGGCCAAGTAAAAGCTTTTAATAAGATCATCTCAGACGGTCTTAAGAAGAAGATTGAACGAGCAGGCGGCCTATGGGCAGACGAACTACCGCATGTTCTCTGGGCCATTAGGACGACTGCAAAAGGGTCGACTGGAGAAACTCCATTTCTCCTAGCTTATGGTGCAGAAGTTGTTCTTCTAATTGAACACTACGAGCCGACTCTTCAAATAATGTTGTATGACGAAGAGGCGAACTAGGAGTCTATGCGCCTGGCCTTGGACTCACTTCCAGAACGAAGGGGCAATGCAGCCCTGCGCCATGAAATCTACCGCCTGAGAATGACAAGGTCATATAACAAAAAAGTGCACAAGCGTCCACTCAAAGTGGGGGACTTTGTACTAAGAAAAATGGAAGCAGTCAGTAGGGCTAATGAGTCAGGAAAATTAACTCCCAACTGGGAAGGACCCTACCGAATCTATTAAGAGGTCCGGGACGGTGCCTACTGACAGGCGGTATTTTAGGTCGTTACTAAGACACCTCTATCAAATGATATTTGTAGTCCTAAACATGCAACTAAAAGAGTATAGAGGCAAGTTAAGAGTATGACTCAATGAGCTTACTATACCAATCCTTCCTTGTTCTAGCAACGGTCTTCTCCAAGATGATTTTCAACTCCCTATTTGTGACCTCTGCTTGACCACTTGTTTGGGGGTGGTAAGCAAGGCCTCGCTTGTGCGATACACCATACTTTGAAAGAAGCTTGTTGAATGTATGGTGCTTGAAGTGTGAGCCTCCATCACTTATGATTGCCTTAGGAACACCGAATCTTGAGAAGATGACTTTCTTGAACAAATTGATGACCACCTTTGAGTCGTTGGTGGGAGATGCCACGGCTTCCGCCCACTTGGAAACATAATCAACGACAACTAGAATGTGTCGGTTTCCTTGGGATGAGATGAAAGGGCCCATGAAGTTAATTGCCCAAACATCAAAAATTTCTAGTTCAAGAATCGGATTTTGGGGCATCTCATCACGCCTTGATATGTTCCCCGTCCTTTGTCACCTATCACAAGTCTTAACAAATTGCCAACCATCTTTGAATAGTGAGGGCCAAAAGAGCATGCATTGCAAAACCTTGGAAGCGGTCTTTTGAGCACTCATATGACCACCACAAGGGGATGAGTGGCACATTGAGAGCACATCTTGGAACTCTTCATTAGGAACACATCTTCTCAAAAGTCCATCCACCCCTCTCTTCAACAACATTGGGCCATCCCATATATACTTCTTTGCTTCATGCTTGAGCCTTCGATGTTGTTGAGGAGTGAAATCCGGAGGTATGGCACTACAAGCCAAGTAGTTCACAATATCCGCATACCAAGGCTCCGATTTTGCCTCAAGAGCATATAAGACATCATCCATTAGGGCATCTTCAATTGGAAAACCGTCTTCATGTATTCTTGCACCTCCCAACCTAGAGAGGTGATCCGCCACCACGTTCTCGGCTCCCTTCTTATCTCTCATTTCGCAATCAAAGTCTTGAAGGACCAAGACCCATCTCAACAACCTCGGTTTGGCCTCCTTCTTACTTATCAAATATTTGAGAGCCGAGTGATCGGTATACACTATTGTCCTAGAACCAATGAGGTAGGTTCTAAACTTCTCAAATGAGTGGATAACCGCCAAAAACTCTTTTTCGGTAGTTATATAATTCCGTTGAGCATCATTGAGAGTCTTGGACAAATAGTATATAACGTGAAGTTTCCCATCCTTTCTTTGTCCTAGAACCGATCCAATGGCCTCGTCGCTTGCATCACACATTAGCTCAAATGGTAGAGACCAATCCGGTCCTTGGACTATGGGGCGGTGCAAAGAGCCTTTTTCAACCTACAAAATGACTCATGACAAGCTTCATCAAATACAAATTCTTTATCCTGTTGCAAGAGAGACGTGAGAGGCTTAGAAATCAAAGAGAAATCTTTGATGAAGCGGCGGTAAAAGCCGGTTTGACCAAGGAAGGACCTCACTTCTCTCACATTTGTGGGAGGAGGAAGCTTCTCAATCACATCAACCTTCGCACCATCAACTTCGATGCCCGCTTGGGAGATTTTATGGCCAAGAACAATGCCATTATCCACCATGAAGTGGCATTTCTCCCAATTGAGCACCAATTTGGCACTCTCACACCTTTCTAAACAACGAGATAAATTCATTAGGCACTTCTCATACGTGCCTCCACCAACGGAAAATTCATCCATAAAAACTTCCATTTCTTCCTCGATCATTTCACTAAAAATTGACATCATGCATCTTTGGAAGGTATCCGGGGCATTACAAAGACCAAAAGGCATCCTACGATAAGCAAAAGTACCGTAGGGACAAGTGAAAGTGGTCTTTTCTTGATCTTTTGGGTCAATTGGGATTTGGAAGAATCCCGAATAACCATCAAGAAAGCAATAAAAAGCATGCTTTGTAAGCCTCTCAAGCATTTGATCGATGAACGGTAATGGAAAATGGTCTTTGGAAGTGTTGGCATTTAATTGGCGGTAATTAATACACATACGCCAACCAGTAACAAGCCGAGTTGGGACCAATTGTTGCTTATCATTGACCATTACCGTCATACCTCCCTTTTTCGGCACTACTTGAACTGGGGACACCCAATCACTATGAGCGATTGGATAGATGATCCCTGCTTCAAGTAGCTTGGAAACTTCCTTTCTCACAACCTCTTGCATGGAAGGATTAAGTTTCCTTTGCCGTTGCCTACACGGCTTAGCACCCTCCTCTAAATCGATTTTATGCATGGATAGGGAGGGGCTCATACCCTTGAGATCATCAAGAGTATAACCCAAAGCCTTCCTATTCTTTTTCAAACATTAAACAATGAGGAGGTTTGCTCTTCCGTGAGGTTAGCATTGACAATGATCGGAAAAGTATCATTAGCATCCAAAAAGACATACCTCAAGCCCGAAGGTAGAGGTTTCAATTCTACCTTCGGAGTTACCTTACCATTGGAGATTTCCTCCTCTTCTACTTGGAAGACTTCATATGTTTGGAGCATCTCTTGGTCGGGGGTTGTCTCCTCTTTCTCATCAAGCATTTCCTCATATAATTGCATCTCCTTTTGATCACCTACCTCATTCTCATTCAACAAAACATTCTCAAGTAGATCATTAGAAGCATGCATATGAGGGTATCTAAACTCATTCATCAAGTTTTCAATTGTATCTATTCTAAAGCATTCATTGCTAGAGGAAGGTTGTCTCATTACCTTATTCAAATCAAATTCGATAGAATCATTGTCAACCTTCAAGGTCATCTTGCCTTCTTTGACATCAATAATTGCTTTAGAAGTAGCTAGGAATGGCCTACCCAAGATTATAGGAATTCTTTCATCTTCATCCATCTCAAGAACATAAAAGTCCACCGGAAAAGTGAACCTACCAACTCTAAGGGGTATGTCCTCTACTTTCCCTATAGGCAATTTTGTGGACCTATCCGCTAGTTGGAGGGTGATGTTTGTAGGTGAAAGGTTTCCCACATTAAGCTTTTAGTAGACCGAGAAGGGAATTAAACTCACACTAGCACCTAGATCACACAAAGCTTTCTACCGGGATAATAAAAAAACTATCGGGATCTTGCAATCTAGTTGGTAGCTTACTAGAGAGAATCGCACTATAGTTTGCGGTTAGGCTAACGGTTTCAACTTCTCTCCTTCCATTCAAGAGGTCTTTTAGGAATTTAGAGTAGTGTGGCATCTCTTTCATAGCATCCACAAAGGGTATAGAAACATGCAAGATCTTTACTACATCAATTTTCCGAATTGGACATCAAGCCTAGACCTAGCAAATCTTTGGGGAAAAGGAAACCTCTCATTCCTAGGTTGGAGATTAAGGGGTAAAGGTGTTTGATCTTTGGTGCTCTCCTTTTCGGATTCCTTCTCTTTCTCTTTCTCACCCCTCTCATCCTTTCCGGCACTTCCCTCTAGAATCCCATTCTCTCTTGATGACTCATCCTCAACCTCAAGTCCTATCCTCACATCGGGACTCTTCTCAACATTTAAAACACTCTCAAGGATCTTCCCACTTCTAGTAGTAATGGCATACATAGACTTGGGGTTGACACCTTGGCTAGGTAAAGAAGAGGATGAAGAAGGGGAGGATGAAGAACTTGGTTGGGCAATTTGAGAGATTTGGGTCTCAAGAATTTTCATGTGTGCCTTGATTTGTTTCTTTTCTTCCTCTTGACTCTTATTATGGTTTTCTTGATTTTTAATGAAATTTTGAAGCATAGTCATCATAGGATCCGGAGGGGCTTCTATTTGGAGGGGTTGAGAATGGGGAATTTGAGAATGGGGCCTTACTTGGTCAAAACCGGGGGTCTACTATTTTGTGAGAAAGTAGAAACATTTTGAGGTCTATTACCCCCGGAACCCTGATTGGAATTAAAACGTTGTTGGTTGTTGGAATAGTGTTGTTGGTTTTGATTCCAATTGGGCCTTTGGTTTGAGTAACTTCTTCCATTGTAATTGGAAGAGTTTCCCCTACCTTGGCCTTGGTTATCATAACCACCACCACTTTGATTCCATTGATTTTGATTCCAACCTTGGTTTTGATTCCAACCACGGTTTAGGTTTTGATTCCAATTTGGCCGCATTCCAGCATTTCCCTCACGGGGCACAAAATTCATGGCATTAACATCTTCAACATTATCATCATTTTCATGCGGAGGGGGACCTTCACTTATGGACATACATTGTTGAGAATTATGATCATAGCCTCCACATAAATCACAAAACATACAACCGGGAGGCATGGCATTGTAATTAGAGGGAGAAGAAGTAGAAGGATTCATACCATGGCCTCCCTTGGGAGAAGGGGAGGAAGTATTTTGAAAACTTGATTTCATGAACTCCTCCATTTGTTTCGCCACTTTTGCCATTTGGTTGGAAATATTTGTGATGGCATTGGTTTGCTCGACGGATTGTACCGTTCCTTTGCTAGAAGTGGCTTCCCTCTCACCTTCGTACCAATCCTCATAATTGCGCACAACATTCTATGATACTCTCCACTTCATCTTCCCTTTTGTTCATGATTGGGCCTCCTGCTCCGGCATCAAGGCTAGTCTTGCTTTAAGGGGAGAGTCCTCCGTAGAATGTTTGGAGAACTTGCCAATTAGGAATCCCATGGTGTGGGCATTGCCTTTGTAACTCTTTGAATCTCTCCCATGCCTCACAAAGAGACTCTCCACCTCTTTGGCGGAAACTTTGAATCTTTGAGCGAGCCTCGGCGGTTTTCTTGTGATTGTAAAACCTTCCTAGGAACGCCGTAGTTACCTCATTCCAAGTTGTGAAGGAACCGGGGGGAACATCCTTGTTCAACCAATGTTCCACCGCTCCCATGAGTGAGAACGAGAACATCTTCAATCTTATGTACTCTTGGGAGACTCCGTTGATCTTGATAGTGTCACAATACTTGAGAAACTCTTTGAGATGCTCATGGGGATTCTCAAATTTCCCACGGGTAAATTGCCTCTTCTCTATCATTGAAATGAAAGTAGGCTTTATCTCGAAATTGTATGCTTGAGTGGTGGGGGCTAAGATCCCACTTTGAGAGGCATATGGTTCGGGTGCTCCAAGTTGCTTTAGTGACCTTTGATCACCCATGTTTCCTTGATCAGCCATGCTTTGTTGATTATGGTTATCGGCAAATGGATTGGGAATTGAGCCCGTGAATTGTTCACTCTCCTCACTTGAAGTGGGTGAAGATGGGGTAGGGGAACTTCTCACTTCCTCTTGAAGTGGGTCTTCACCTCTCTCCCTTGCTTGTCTCCTCAATTGGGCCAGAGTACGCTCTAGCTCGAGGTCTATGGACACCAAAGGCTTAGAGCAATTAAGCCTCCTGTACATATACAAAGCTAAGAAGAAAGTGAGCACTGACAAGATACGGAAAAACAAAAGAACAAAAAAGAACTAGTCTCAACAAGAAAATAAACACACAATAGAAACCGTCTCCCCGGCAACGGCGCCAATTTAACAGGCGGTATTTTAGATCGTTACTAAGACACCTCTATTAAATTGTATTTGTAGTCCTAAACATGCAACTAAAAGAGTATAGAGGCAAGTTAAGGGTCGAACACAGGGAAACGATTAAGCACCGCTATTTATCTCCTAATGTTAATCTAATTCGATCAAGAAGTATGGTGGGTAAAGTAATGACTAAAGGGGATATAATAAAAATTAAAACAAGCACTAGGGGAAGGATCAAACATGCTATGAATTCAACGAACTTAGGCATCGGAAAATAGGTTTACATGTAACCCAAGCAACTCATACAAGGCAATATCAAGAATACTCTCTAATCACCTATCGGGATTAAGAGCTTTCCTAGCTAGCATACACTTACACTATCGTCGTAAGGCATACAAGCTAAGGTCATGCAATAATCAATCACCTAATGACTATTCCTAAGTCGCACTATCGCCATGATTTAGTTCAAGTCATTCAACCACAACATGCATATGGCCATAAACATGGAGTGGCTAATAAGTATAAGCACAAGGAAGATTTAATCACAAATATTCAAAATTCACCTAGCCTAGCATACATCAAACTCAAAGCATATCTTCACCAAACCCCTAGCAACAAGAAACTACTCACTAGTCATAACTACAACTAAAATCATACTAAGCAACATTATAACCAATGAAATAGTAAGAAAGATAAAGTTTTTATCAACTAAACTAACAAAGGTAGAAACTTCAATCATAAAAACAAGAGAAAATAGAGAAATATACCAAAACCTTCATTGAAATCCAAATAAAGAGCCATACATCATTCAATCTCCAAGCTTGACCATACATCAATGTTGCAAAATTAGTTCTTCAAAAACTAAGAGTAAAACTAATGTTGATGGACAATGAAATTACACTAAAAACTATCAAGATTGTTCAATACAAAAGTGGCTAAAACAAAAACCTAGAAACATTCCTTAAAAGCTCTCCTCTAAGGTTTCTATGCTAAAAATATCCCTATGATAGAATGTTGTCCAAAGTTAGCCGTTTTGCCTCCCTTTTGTTAATTTGGGCTGAAATCGGGATTTGAATCAGCAGCAGACAGGCGCGCCCGCGCCCAACAATGGCGCGCCCGCGCGTTAAATGATGGCACGACCGCTCCTCGAAATGCGCGCCCGCTCCAAAGTGGGTATTTAATGGTTGGTCCAGCTCATCAGGGCGCCCGCGCCATTTGTCTGGTCTGGATTTCTTCCCGTTTTGCCCTTGTTCCTTCCATCTCTGAATCAACGGCATACACCTGCAATCATGGAACAGGAAGGCAAAGCGTAATACAACGAAAGGGGAGGGGAGTATAGACTACCTAAACCACATGAATACACATTACGCGCCACAAAGGTAGAATACTCGAACTAGGCGGATCATAGCAAAAACATACTAAAATGGACCGAATTATTACTAAAACTACTAGAAAAGACTATCCTAAGAGCGACATAAATGTCACTCATCACCTACCGCCTAGAAACCCCAGATGGCCAACCCTTGCCTCGAACCTGGAATGTAGATAATCTAAAGAAGTATTATTTTTGAATGATGTAAATAGCCAAGAGCTACTAATAAAAGTTTGCTATTTTGCTTCATCTATTTTGTACTATGAGGGGCATGCCGCCTGCTCCATTAGCAGCCGACTACTCTCCATCTTCTCATCAATTGAGGGGCATGCCGACTGGTAAAACAGTCGGCTACTCTACTATACTTAGTTCGCCATGAACCACCAAAGGCCTATGGCTGAATGATCGGACCAGGCGCCCAGCCAACTGATCCAATCTTTAAACTAATACGACCTGTCCCAACATTACAGCAGGTGTCCGGCGGCATCCCTCCGGATGAAATTCGTCGCAGAGAGCAACTCCCTTTTGGGTGGAACATTGTTCTATAAACTAATTACACAGCACCTAGACGATTGTCCCCAAGGACAACCACGTAGCCGTTTTTGAGACAAGGATAACTCTAATACCAAACCAAACAAGTTTTAGAAATTAATATCCGCGTCGGATGACCGTCTGTATTACTTGGGATAAGTACAGCCGGTACCTCTTGAGTAAATAGCCAACAAAAATTGGTGAATCAAGGGAATCAGTCGGCTTCCGTCGCCTAGTGCCTCTACTACTCAAGCATAAAAGCTGACAAATGAGTAACCTCAAAGATTACTCATAAGTCACTCTCTCATACTTAGTAAGGATTCAAAAGGTATGACAAGTCCACCTGTCTAAAGGCAAACCAAAGCTCTCGTACCCCGACCCTACTAAGATGATTACTTTTCAAACCAAACATGTTTGAAAATCTGGTTCGTAGGTCAACTACTTTTTGGCAAACAGGGACTCAAGAACTATTCCT